GTGCCTCCAGACACTGTCTCTCATCACCACCACAGCAGTACAACATCACCAGACCAGTGCTGCCAGTCACTGCAGTGTCCCTAATCACCACTGCACCAGTCACAGTGGGCTCCATTTACAAAGTGGCACCGTCAACTTTAATACGGAGTTCCAGTTGACAAAAACTGTAGCTGCTGACTTTTAAAATACAGACACTTACCTGTCCCTCGGTCCAGCGGTGTCCTCACCACGGCTGGTTTCACCGGCATCTTCAGTGTGGGCACCCGGCTGTGACAGCTTGTGGCTTCACAGCCGGGTGCCCACTGCGCATGCGGAAGAAGAGCTGTGCTTTGTGAATGGCCCCGTAGTCTTCTGGGACCTATTACATGTCCCAGAAGACTACAGGGAGGGAGGACAACTTCCTCTTCCATTTCTAATGGTTCCAATCCTTAATGGGGAGCAGGGGACAAAAGCTTAAAGCAGAACTTCCCCTTTTGGGTGGAGCTCTGCTTTAAGAAATACAGTAAAATACTGATTAGCATATTTTAAAAAGGGGCCTTAAAGTCAAACCGGGACCTTTGAGTTTATATAGTAAAAGAACAAATTTCAAGGAGTGGAAACTGCATTTTTTTTTTATATACTCCCCTGCTACAGTTACACACGTATCCCAGTATTTAACTAATAACTGGAAAGCTTCGGCACAGAAATACTTGTCAGTACGCCTGAACCATCCTAGAACAGCCTACTTCACTTCGTCATCAGTGCTGAAATGCTGACTCTTTGGGGGTGCAAACAGGTGGAAATCACTCGGACTTGGCTGTAAGGAGGATGTGGCAATACCTCCCAGCTGAGTTGCTGTAGTGCGCATGTAGTGAAGTGAGTAGTATGTGCTTGTGCGTTGTACTGAATAAACAGGATGCCCTTAGTGATCAAACCAAGCAATTTTTTTTCGCAGACGCATATACACGTCACTCAGAACACGACAGTTATATTCACTGTCAATAGTGGCACCACATGCGCTAATTTTTTGAAAATGAAAATGTTCATGAATGATTGTGTTCACTGTTCTTACAGAAAGATTTGTTTCTTGTGCAATTTCCCAACAGGTTATGCGTTGATCCAGGATCAGGCGTTCCACATGCTTGAATGTTCACAGGAATGACTTCTGTGGGCTGGGAACCACCACGGCCAGGATTGTCACTGACATACTGTACGTATGACCATCTTTGAAGCATTTTTACCATGCAAATGTCTTCCTGTGGCTGAACGTCTCATCATCGTACTGTGCTTGAAGTCTTCTGAAGATATCTGTTAATTTTACACCTTCGTTCTCAAGAAACTTTATCACCACATGCTGTTCCATGCACGCACTAACACTGTTGTCTGCCATCTTGTTTAATGGCCTCTGTACTGGTCTATGACACATGCGCTGCCTATCAGTAATAGGACACACTTGCCACTTACTACTGCATGCAGTACTGCCATGCTAGCATCCCTTTTTTATACCTGTAAAATTAAAAGTCCTGGTTTGACTTGAACGCCCCTCAGTAATAAAAGAAAGAAGGTATTTAGAATATTATACAGGATTTATATAGCTCCAAAAGTTTGCTCAGAGCTTTACAATACAATATAATAAAAGGGAAGCTGCTTTCACAGGACGCAGGTGGTGTATCAAAAATAAAATGTTTAATTAAGTAAATACAAAATATCTTTATAAATGTCAAATGTTGAAAAAAAATAGTATAATAAAATCACACAAATATATAAATACCCTTCTTCCACCAATAAAAAACACAATGCTGTCTTTTTTTATTGGTGGAAGAAGGGTATTTATATATGTGTGTGATTTTTTTAACTACTTTCATTCAATAGTTGACATTTAGAAAGATATTTTGTATTTACTTAAAGTATAACTAAAGGAAAAACTTTTTTTTTTTTAGTTTTGGTTAGTGTGGAGAGGTGTTAGAACACCGATTAGGTTTTAATTGCAGTCTGTCCACATTACGGAGATTCACCTTCTCTTTTTGTACTGTTTACCATTATCATTGAAAGTGACAGTAAAAGAAAATTGCAAATTTTGGATTGTCTCCTGAAATGTAATAGAGGGGACATCTTCCAATAGGGACACAGATGGCAAAAAAATTAAAAGAAAAAACTGACAGGGTTTATAACCCTCCATTACTCCCCAGTGAAGTTTTGCCTCTGAGTGCCGCCTGCACTGACACTGGGCTGTTTATTGGCCACTTTTCTGGCTGCTGCCTGGACCGATCCTTTGTGTGTTTGTTGACTATATCTCTGTCTGCTGCCTAAACTGGCCCATCTGCACATCCCACTGACTACGTTCCTGCCACCAGTCCCAGCCATCCCCTTCAGGAAAACTGCTCTCCTGGAACCACAGGAGCTCTTTTGCTCTACGTTTCTTCAGCCCTCTGTACTTCCTGGCCACTGAACATGGCATACCTGGGGGTGGCCACATACCAGCAGACTAGGCGGCTTGCTTGGCTTATAGGTACAGGGACCACTATAGGTGATGCTACATTATTATGCTATATTCCCTGACCACTTGTACAGAGGTGACCAATACAGCACATTGTTTTCTATACAGTGTTGGTTGATTTTTATGATACACAAGATGCAATGTAGGGAATGTAAACAATCCAAACATTGAGGGCTAATTCACACTGTGTGGTGACTGGTGTTTTAACATACTGTAAAATGCCCATCATAGTAAGGGCACACAGAATACATATGGATTTGTTATGCATTGGTGTAGCATGTATGAGTTAAAGTGGTTGTAAACCCTTACATAGGCCCAGTGAAGTTACTGGCCGCAGGTGATACACAGAGATGTAACAAATCCTCCTAAATACGTTGTACCTGTTTATCTACAGTATTCTCTTCCCTAAAGCCATTCAAAGTTCTGAATTTATAAAGTTTGTCTGAGCGTTCAGAAAAAAGGGGACAGAAATGAAACTACACACTGCAGAGCTCAGTGAGGAGAGTTCTGAGAGCTGATTGGAGGAATACGAGACACATCACTGTCCACAGAGCTGAGGCCGTCAATCTGCTGGAGGTCACTCCCCTGTCATCATTTCACTCTTGGTGTCAGGAAAACTTGTCAGAAGTGATTTATGCCGATAGCAAAGGAACATAGCAATAAACAGAAATGACACTTAGTGCTCTTAAAGTGGTTCTAAAGGCTTAAAGGATAAGTTTAGCTTTTTGACAAAAACAATAAAAGCATTTTTTTTTGCAGGTAAAAAAATGTGCATTTATTATTTTTGTCTGCAGTAGCCTGAAAAGCATTGCACCAGCGATTAGTAGATCTCTGATGCCATGTAGGTCTCCTGCAGACCTGTCGGAATATCTGCTTGCCGTACGGGATGTACGGTCAAGCAGATATTCTGACAGGAAGCTTCAATTAACTACCACAGTGCTGCACAGCTTTGTGGTAGTTCATTGAAAACTACAAGTTGACAGCCACTAAGTCTACAGGGACTTGCAGTTCATTCATTCACGGAAGTCTGAATGAATGACGTGGCTGTCACACTACTCCTTGGAATATCTGTCAGGGGAGCAGCTGCAGCTATGGAAACATGTTCCACCCTAAGTCCTCATGCACACTGGACATTTTTACAGCTGCTATTTTTGGCTTTTGATGTTTTTTTCTACAGCCAGTAAACTCCCCAGCATGTTATCCTATGTGTTCATGTACACATAGACTGTAATCAGCGTTTTTTGGCTAAAAAAAACCCCCAGAACTAGTGGTTTTCTGGAGTTTTTTAGCTGTAAAAATGCTCTAACGCTGCAAAACGCAGTAAAACACTGCAAACCAGCAGCTTTGGACTTTTTTTGACCAAAAATAATTTTTTTCTTGGTATAAAAAATGCTACAAAATGCAAAAATGTGGAAAAACACAGGAAAACGCTGCTAAACACTAATGCAAAAATGCTAAAAAAAAAGCTGAAAAACGCATGTTTTTAACGTGACTTCACACAGCTAATGTTACCAGCGTTATCAAAACACCCTGTGTGCATGGAGCCTAAGTCCTCATGCACACTGGATGTTTTTCCAGCTGCTGTTTTTGGCGTTTTTTCTACAGCCAGTAAACTCCCCAGCATGTCATCCTATGTGTCCATGCACACATAGGCTGTAATCAGCTTTTTTTGGCAGGGGCATTTTTGTCTGGAAAATAACCCCAGAACTAGTGGGTTTCTACAGTTTTTTAGCTGTAAAAACGCTCTAACACTGTAAATCACAGCAAACTAGCATTTTTGGAGTTTTTGACTAAAAAAAAAAATTGACGGGGTAAAAAAAACCCTTAAAAAAAGCAAATGTGAAAAGAGGTGAAAGAGCTAAACACGAATACAAAAATGCTAAAAACCGCTGAAAAACTCACGTTGTTAATGTGACTTTACACAACTAACGTTACCAGTATTATTAAAATGCCCAGTGTGCATGGAGCCTAAAAACAGGTGGAACATGTAACATGTTCAAAAGGTGGACTTGTATATATGAAAGTAAAAAACATTCAGCAGCCCCTCCCTAACACTCACCTGAGCCCGATGTCGGTCCAGCGATGTGCACAGGAGACTCGGCTTTCCCAATTCTCTCCCTTCTCATTGGCTGAGACATATGAACCAATGGCTCCTGCTGCTGTCAATCACAGCCTGTGAGAAGGGAGTGGGGGCAGGCTTATGGACACAGTGGGGCTCAGGGGCGAGAACGTACCAGTGCCCCCATAGCAAGCAGATTTCTCTGGGGGAACTGCTCAGGGAAGAGGAGCCAGAATCACCAGGGGCCCAAGAAGAGGAGGATCCAGACTGCTCTGTGCAAAACCACTGCAAACAGCAGGTAAGTATAGACATGCTTGTTATTTTAACTGCCTCCCGTCCGCCATATAAGGTAATGACAGGTGCAAGGCGGTTCTCTCGTTCAAGGAGGACGTCATATGACGTCCTCCCATTCTCACCGCGCATGCGCGCTCTGGGAGCTCGCAGTGCGGTGAACGGTGGCGCGATATGTCCCTCGGACACAGTGGATCACCGATCAACGGAAAGAGCCAAAGATGTCGGCTCGGTCATGTGATCAGCTGTGTCCAATCACAGCTGATCACATGTAAATAGGGAAATGCCGGTAATCGGCATTTCTCTCCTCACGAGCTGTCACGCTGACAGTTGGATAGGAGAGCCGGTAATCGGCATTACTCAGAGGGGACATGTGCACTGATGATCTGCGTAGCCCCAGCAGTGCCACCTGTCAGTGTCAGCTGTCAGTGCTCATCAGTGTCAGCTGTCAGCACTGATGGACCTGCCAGTGCCCATCAGTGCCACATCAATACCACATATCAGTGCCTACCAGTGCACATCAATGCCACATATCAGTGCCCACCTGAGCTGCCTTTCAGTGTCACCTATCAGTGCCACTCAGTACCACCTATCAATGTCAGTCAGTGCTATCAGTGCTGCCAATCAGTGCCACCTATCAGTGCACAGTGCCACCTATCAGTGCCAGTCAGTGCTGCCTAACAGTGCCATATAGGACTGTTGCCTTTCAGTGCTCATCAGTGATGCCTGTCAATGCCCATCAGTGCCTCATCAGTGTCCATCAGTGCAGCCTCATTAGCGCACATCAGTGAAGGAAAAAAATCACTTATTTACAAAAATGTATACCAAAAACTAAGAAAAAAAAAGTTTTTTTTCCAACATTTTCAGCGGTTTTTGGTTTAACAAAAAATAAAAAACCCAGAGGTGATTACCACCAAAATAAAGCTATCTCAAAAAAATGATACAAATTTCATATGGGTACAGTGTTGCATGATCGCAAAAATGTCAAAGTGCAACAGCACTGAAAGCTGAAAATTGGCCTGGGCAGGAAGGGGTATAAGTGCCTGGTAGGCAAGTGGTTAAAAAGAGAAAAAAAAATGGCTTTAGTATTGCTTTGAGACACGTGCACACTATAGAGGGATATTCTTTGTTCATATTTCATGTCCAATGTTCACAACCACTTTAAAACAGCTGGTGAAGAGATGTCATAGTGCCCACTGACTGCCTGTCAACAAACCTCTGAAAAGCAATCTTAACACAGCTCACTTTTCAGAGGTACACCACTTGGGACACAAACCAAACAGCCTGAAGGAATCTCACCTTTTCCACAGAAGTTTGGGAAGCATTTATCAATCTCAAAATGTATAAACCATGGCCCTGAGTCCATGCTGGCGGTTTGTGACAAACCATCCACGTCATGGAACATGTCATTGAATAAAGCTGTCTGGAACAGAAAAGCACCGATGGGATGGGATGGAAACACTGAGCGGCGCTGACTGAGCACACAGGACAATCCCAGCACAGGCGCCACAAATAACACCTCCCCATGTAAGGTTCTAGTGTGCTCTGGGTTGCCGTGTGCGGGTGACGTCATCGGAGTGCGACTGTCAGGCTGTGAGCGAAGCAGAGCTCTCATTATATCACTACCTCCGGTGAGTGCTGCCTTACTATTGGCATTGAGATGTGGAAATGAATAAATGTGCCAACAAATCACACACATTAGAATGGGGCTGCACGTGATATGACCGCTAGAGCAATTAACCTCTTGTGGAGAGCTGACTAAAAGTAACCCTGTTTCTTGCATATAAGGAAGCTGCCTGACAGGATTTAAATGTGTTGCCTGTAAGCGATCAAAAGAAATGTGTAGTGAGAACAGTTGGTGGGCTGACGTCTTTTGGGCTGCTCTCCTGAAAATGCCAGTTGTCTGGCAGTCATGCTTATCCCATGGCTTCAGTACTGAGCCTAGGGCGAGGGAGCACATGTCATTCGCACGGGTTCCCGCACCCAAAGCTCTTTAGCAGACGTGTGGAGGTGTCATTGGTACTTAAAAGATAAGTTCACCATTAACCGAAAAATAATAAATGCACTTTTTTTGGCAGGTAAAAAAAAAAAGGTGCATTTATTATTCTTTGTTTCTGGAGCCTCTTAGGCTTCATTCACAGTTGAGTGTTTTGTAGCGGGAAGCTCGAAAAAAGTCCAAACTTAAAAGATCAATTGTTCTTTATAGTGCCTGTTCACACCTGATCATGTGAACAGGCACCATAGAGAACAATTGATTTTTTTTAAGTGTGAGCGTTTTTTGGAGCTTAAGCCCTGGTTCACACTGATGTGGTGCAGAATTCGCAGTGTTTTGCGAGTTGTGTGCACCGCATCAGAATCGCACCCTGTTCATGCGAACCGCTGTGATTGTGTATGTTAAATTAACAACACCCCGTAAGCGGTCCACAAAGTGCGGTGCGATGTGCAGAATTGGATCACATAGGTGTGAATGCTTGCAATCCGATTCCAGTGCGGACCCAAAAAAGGGTCCTGCACTTTGCAGGTGTGGTGCGAATAGAGCCATACAAAATGTACAGCTCCAATCACACCGTACACAAATCACATGTGATTTGCACAGGAATGCGGTGTGGTTCCTGTGTGAATCACATGTGATATACTGCACATATGTGAACCCAGGCTGAAGCTACAAAACACTCAAGTGTGAATGCAGCCTAAGGCATTGCACCAGTGATCAACAGATCGCTGGTGCCATGCAGGTCTTCCCTCTGACCTGTCAGTGTATCATACCTCGTACAGGCAAGCAGATACTTACTGACAGGAAGAATCAGTGAACTACCACGATGCTCCATAGCGCCGTGGTAGTTCAATGAGAACTACAAGGTGTAGCTGCAAAAGATGCCAGAACTTGTAGTGTTCTCATTCACAGAATTATGTGGATGGGCGGGCGGAGTCCCACACAGCTGCGCTTTTTAAAAATTGTGACAGCTAACCGGGGAGAAGATTCCCCGCTAACTGTTACAGCGGGAGGCGGTCCATTCATAACATGTTGCATGTTACATCCTGAATATGGATGTAACATGTTACAAAAGGTGAACTTATCCTTTAATAGCAATCCCAAGCACCTGAAAATGCAACCTGGTTTTGGGTATGCAAAACTGTATGGGACCACAGCACTATGGGGTTCTGTGCAGCTGCCCTGTGGGTGTGTTTAAAAAAAAAAAAAAAAAAAGGTCAGGGACTTTTTTCCCCATAGTTACAGCAGCCCATTCAAACGCACCCACACAGAGACACAAATGTATAAAACCAGCCTTAAAGGATAAGTTCACCTTTTAACAAAAAAATATTAGTACATTTTTTTTTTTTTTGCAGGTAAAAAATATACATTTACTATTTATTGTTTTGGAAGTCTGGAAAGCATTGCACCAGTGATCAGTAGATCACTGGTGCCATGCACGACTCCTGCAGACCTGTCAGTTTTTCTGTGTGGTCATACCTCGTACTGGCAAGCAGATACACTCTGACCGGAAGAGACAATGAACTACCATAGCACCTAACAGCACTGTGATAGTTCATTGAGAACTATAAGCCAACAGCCGCAAAGACTGTCGAAACTTGTAGTTTTCCCATCCACAGAATACTGTGAGTGAGTGACGTGGCTGTGTGAGCGGAGCCCCACATGGCATCTTTTTAAAAATCGTGACAGCTATCAGGTGGAGAACCCCCACTAGCTGTCAAAAAAAAGAGGATGGGAGGGGAGCAGGGGCTGGTCCTTTCATAACATGTTACACCCTGAATATGGGTGTAACATGTTACTAAAGGTGAACTTATCCTTTAATATCTATAAATATGCAGAGCTTGAGTTCAGACTAACCTTGCTGCAAGATCAGTGACTCAGAAAATATCAGAGCCACAGACAGCCAGGCAACTAGCATTCTCATACTATGTATTTTGTGCTAGTAAAGCTAAATTTCAGTTAGTGCTCGTTCACATGGGTGACTATGGGTGGTAAAAGAAGGGCGGTTGAACCTCCCCTAACTTCTCCATCCTAAGCTGCAAGACCAGACTGTCCTCATGCTGTGACCTCGATCACTTGCTTTCACAGCATATGCAAAAATTAGATCCCGTGTGGTGTTCGGCAGGCAGTACTGGCAAGTGAGTGAAGCTTTTCGCAGCTGCGTGCATTACACGTGGTGGTGCGGCATTTTCAGGGTTAAAACAGTTGCCTTCCAGCCACCTCTCAACTTCCCACTGAAAAGTGTTCCACTGCATACCACTTTTTAGATGGGTGGCAAGGACTGTGGAAAGTGTGTCTGAGCCCTTAAAACAAAAATAAACCTATGGATTTAACAGTTTAAAAAAAACCCAGTTACATTCCCAGCATCGTGGAAATGTTACTGTCACATTTGCTTGTGCTGCCAACCAAACTGCCAAACCATCAAATGGCTGGAGTCATAACTGATCACTTGTGCAGCACCATGGCAGTTAAAGATCAAGATGGAAGCTTCTTTGGCTGAAAAAGATCAGAGGGTTTAGTTCCCTTTTAAGGGCCGGTTCACACTACAGAAACGCAGTGCAGATGCGTTCCGAATGCGTTTTTGCATGCATGTTTTTGGCATGTTCCGGTGTGTTTTTGGTGCATTCCAGTGCATTTTTTAAGCATTTCAGTTAATATTTTTCCCCTCTCTTTTTCTTCAATTTAAATAGGGACATGTGCATTCCAGTGTGGTTTTGGTGCGTTCCAGTACGTTTTTGATGTGTTTTACTGCAATCCAGTACAGTTCTGTGCAGAAAAAATGCAGCATGTTCTACTTTTTTTCCTGCAACAGGAACACACTGGAACTGCAAGCGCTGATGTGATCTACCATGTAACCTATTTGCTGTGTGTTTTGAATGCAGAAAAAAAGCTACTGAAATGCATGTAGTGTGAACTGGCCATAAAGCTGAACTCCAGGGAAAGTAGCACTCCAAGAGTTAAGTGCGTATTTCGGTCTAGGGCAGTGGTCTCCAAACTGCGGCCCGGGGGCCAGATGCGGCCCTTTGCTTATCTTTATCCGGCCCTTTGGGGTTTTCTTCTTCCCTCTGATGAAAAGCACTATTCTCCCCACTGACACCAATGGTGGACCATAGTTCCTCCCACTGACACCAATACTGGGGCACTATTCCTCCTACTGACGGAAAGGATGGGTCCCAATTCCTCCCACTGACGGCAAGCTTTGGGGCACAACAGCGCCTATATTTTCTGAGGAAACTTAACAAATCCTGTCTATGCTACGGGATATTGGAGAATTTGTATCGTTGTATCGTCGTTGAGAGCATCCTCGCAAATTGCATCTTAGTGTGGTACAGCAGCTGCACTGCTTCTTATCGTAAAACCCTTCAGAGGGTGGTGAAAATTGCCCAACGAATTATTGGTGTTCAGCTTTCCACCTTGGAGGACATTTACAAAAAAAATTCTGTGTACAAAGGGCGAGGGCATCATTAATGATGCCTCTCACCCTAACCATGGACTGTTCCTTCCATCGGGCAAACGATACAGGTGTCTCAGAGCCCGTAACAATAGACTGAAAAATAGTTTTTTCCCCTATGGCTGTTAAAGCATTGAACAGCTAATTATTAGACAATATTGCAATGGTGAATAAAATATACAGTAATACATTACTGAATAT